TGCTGCTCATGCGGCCTGAGCTGGGGACCCCAGTGCCCTGCCCCAGCCTGGGGGGGTGGCAGTGTCACCAAGAGCCCCCATGCCATCCCCAAGAGGGGCTGTTCTTTGTGTGGCAAAGCTGAAGCTGCGAGGGAAGGAAACCACAGCCATGGGGAGCGGTGACGCAGAGCCAGGGCCGTGCTGGGTCTGGCTGAGCCCAGCTCTCCCCTCCCAGCCTGGGGGCACAGCAGCTCCTGCAGCCCTCTGCCCCCTCCCTTTGCCATGAGGAACAGATCCTGCTACATCCCAGTGTGCATCAGGAATGGGAACAGAGCCCAAAACCAGTCCCAACCCCTTAAAGCAAGAAGAGGGTCTTGTGGAGTTGCTGGAGTCCCACAGGACCAGAAACAGCCTTGTGGTGGCCCCAGCCTCTAAGACAGCAGAAGGGGGAGCTCTGGGGGGCAGGGGGGTTGTTTAAGGCATGGAGAAGCCCCTGGTTCCTGCTCCAGCTCCAGGAGAGGTGAGCTGAGCCCACAGCATGATGGAGGCACTGAACGAGCAGGGGGATGGGATGGGGTGGGATGGGATGGGATGGGATGGGATGGGGTGGGATGGGGTGAGATGGGAATTGTGCCCCCCCCAGCCAAGCAGAGCCCCCCATGGCACCCCCAGCTCCTTGTCTTGCCTCCCTCCACAGCACCCTGTGCTGCTCCCAGCCTTCAGAAAGGAGCCCTCAGCCACAGCCCCTCACAGACAGCAGGAAAAACCCCCTTGAATCACCAGCAGCAAGAAAAACTCTTATTTCCCTCACTTTTCTCTTCCTGAAGGTGATGCCCAAGCCATGCCTGGACCAGCAGGACTTACCCTCCCCACAGGGACGCTCAGAGTGGGGCACAGGGCCCAGGGGCTCCCAGCTCAGAGGGACGGAGCTGCCTCTGCTCTCATCTCTTACTCAAGGCACCTTCCGCTCTGGGTGACACCAACTGCCGGTGCTCACAGTTTCCTGTTTGCTGCCTTGAAAGGGGGTGAGGGAAGGAGCCATCCAGAGGGTCACGGTGTCCCCAGAGTGCCCAGGTCCCAATGCAGCTCTGCAGAGGCACTGCCAGTGCCATCAGGAAGGGCAGCAAAGTCTCCATCCTTCCCTGGTTTGCCATGTCTGGGGCTGGGGGGTGTTTGGAGTGGGGGGGAAGAACAGCAGGAAAACAGCAAATGTTATTTTAAGACTCCAAATAACCCAAAATACCAGATTATCTATAGCCCCCAGATTATAACATCCTACCAAAGACAGAACAACCTGAAAATCCCCCCTGTGGGGGCTCTGTGCCCCCAGAATTTGAAGATGTCCCCCCTGTGCTGTTCTCTGATGGTTTTTTTAAGGTTTCTGCCTCAATTATAAACTTGGCTTTAAACCCACTGGCTGCCCATGGGCTGCAGCCACTCTGCTTCAGGAGGGACAGGGGATCAGATGGACCATAGGCATTTTTCCTGCTCTTTAACTGCAAAACATGAAGGGGACACTGGCAGTAGGAAACTCTGTTGTCTCTACAGCATAACTTGAACAAACATCCCCTGGCCCAGAGCAGAGCCCAGGCTCCCAGGGCAGGAGCTGTGGGCAGGGAGCTGATGCCTGTCTTGGTTTGGAAAGCCAGGTCTCTGCTAAGGAAGGCAGGAGCCTCTCCTGAAATGGAAAATGTAAACCCTCCCTACCCCTCTGAATTGCTATAAATTTTAAATAAGGGGCTCTCAGGCAAAAATATGGGAGCAGGAAATAACAGTTCTTTAATAGGGAAGAAAAATAAAAGGATAAAATAAACAATGCAGTACACTAGAACAACACTGCCAGAGTCAGAACCCAACCTGACAGCCTGTGAGTCAGGCTGTTGGCAGCAGTCCCATTGGAATTGTGGCTCAGCCCTCCTGCAGTGTCAGGGCTGGTTCTGCTGGAGCAGGGATCCTGGAGAAAGGTGCAGTCTCTGCCTCTGAAGATCCAGGGGCAGAGGCAGCTGCTGTTCCTCTGGGCAATCCAGTGGAGAAGCTGTGCTGGTGTTCCAGAATCTCCAGATTATATCCGGGTAGGAATGCTTGGCTCCTCCCTCTGGGCTCACATCTCCCAATGGGATGCTGTAGTTCTTATCAGCCATGCAGGGACATTCAATGGCTGTTATCAGCAGATGTCTCCTCCCAAGGGAGGTGTGAATGTGGTCACTCAAAGAGAGAGATAAGGCAAACTGCCCACTTGACAAAGGCAATCTGCCATACAGATGGTAAATGAAAATATCTTGCCTTGCAATCTGGAGCAATGCCCCAACTCTCTCTGCCCATCTAAACAGGTGAAATCCCTCACTGGGAACCAGCCACACCCTCCTCATTTGGTGTTTAACCTAAGGGAGCAGCCTCCAGCTCAGGTCCATCTGCTCCATCAGGGCCAGCTAAAGCTCAGCTGGTTCTTCTCCACACTCTGGACAAAGCTGCTGCTGCTCACCCCAAATTGGAACATCCCCTCGGTCAGGCTGGGGGGCTCAGTGTCCCCACACCCTCCAACCCTCTGCAGTGTTTGCTGCTGCACAGAAAGGCTGGGTTTTGGTTTTCCCCAAGGATTTGAGGAGAAAATTTTCCCTTTTGAAGGGAAAACCCTAAATATCCCTGGGAGAGCTTGATTTGCGCCTTCTGTCCACTGAGGCTCTGGCATGGTGTTTCCAGAGGATCAGCAAAGGGCACAGACCACAGACCAGGGAGGAGGGCACGATCCAACCCCAGTGAGATGCTGGAAGGTGCCAGTGAAAGGGAATTGAATGTGGACAAGGGAAGGGAAGCACCTGAGCCTCTCTCTGTGAGGGTTTGACCCTCAGCATCCCTGCTCTGTGCTGGGCTGGGGAGCAGCAAACACAGCCTGGGCTGAGAGTGTGAGGTTTCCATCCTTTCCCCAGCTGCCATCACTGCTTTGTGTCCCAAAGCTGGGGGGACACAGTCCTGGGGTGTCCCGGGGACTCAGAGCTCAGCCCTGCAGAGCCCAGCCTGGCTGTCCCCAGAGCCACAAGCACAGACAAGGGGTTTCACTGATTTATTTCTCATTTCCTTCCTTGCTCCTGCTCCTGGCAAAGGGGAGGTGACAGCAGAGGGGAGCTCCTGGCAGCAGCCAGGGGGGTTTGGAAGGACTGACGTAAGGGGAAAGATTACAGGGGCTAAATCTGTAGGGTTTGACTCAGCAGCAGCTCAAAGGCTGAGTGTGTGTCAAGGGTCTGCAAGGATGTCACCCCTTGCTCCAGCGACAGGCAGAGGCCTTAGGGATCCTCAGCTGAGCAATGAGATGAGGTTGTAATTGCTATCAGCTTTCTTTTCATCTGGATCCTCTGCAACTCTGGGCATTTCTCACATTAACCAGAACCTGAGTCTGCATCCAAGCCTTGCCCCAGGAAGCAGCCAGTGGTAGATATATCCCTGATTCCCCTGGGATCTCAGTGGAAATGCCACTGCACATTTCCACCAGCAGTGCCACCACATGCTCTTGTGTCCCCATCCCACAGCGTGGGACACCCTTGTGGGCCCCCAGCACCCTTTAAAGGCACAGGGAGGGGAGCAGCTTGCCCATGGCTAATGGCCACATGCTGAGGGTCAGGGGGAACAGGGGCACAGTGGGGCAGGGGAATGATGGGGGCAACAGAGGAGCCACAGGGACACCCCACACAGGTGGCTCTGGCTTCTGCTGGGGACACGGTGGCAGCACCAGACCACGGTCCCCAGGGAATGGGGTCAAGCATTGTGGCAAGGCTTTGTCCCTCTCAGCCCTCCCAAAGGCAGATCCCAGCTCAGGGCTGCACCCCCAGAGGGATCCCCAGCCCCTGGAACACCCCCACCTTCAGCCAGGTCCTGCTCCCATCACCCACATTAACCAGAATGCCTTTGCACAGAGGCATTCAGTGTTTATTCAGGCAAAAGTGTTTATTCAGAATTAACACTTAGAGACAAACCCTCTTCCCACATAACTTCATAGCATTATTTTAAATATAAATAAACATTTAGTGCTGGGAGCTTGGCAGCTTCACCCACAGCAAAGTGCATGGTGGTGCAAGGTGGGAGATCAACCCCGTCCCTTTTCTTCCTGGGACCATCTTGCACCAGTTTCCAGAGTCCAAATCCAGCAGAGCAGCAGATGAACTCCATGAAAGTGCCAAGACCTGACAGTGTTGAGTCCCTCAGGGACTCATCCTTCAGTGCTGGAACTGAGCAGCCTCTGCCCCAGGCCATCCTTGGTCCCAGAGCAGAGCCAGTGAGGGTCCTCTCCCCACCAGCCCCAAAGCAGAAAGAGTCCAGGAGAACAAGCTACAATTCCTTATTTCAGCATCATCCCTGCTGCTGATGCTGAAATAGTAGAACCTCCTCTTCTTGCTAGAGGAGCCCAGCAGAGGCAGAGCAGGGGCTGCTCAGCCTGGTGTCAATGTTGGGGCAGGCAGGGGCACAGGGGCAAGCAGCACCACTCAGCAAGCCAACAACAGGGTGAGAAGGTGGGATTTGGGGCCAGCAGAGTGCAGGGGGTCCCAAAGCCTCCCGTTGGTCCCCATGGCTGCTCCCAGGGAAGGTTTGTCCAGGGAACAGCTCCCTCTGCCCAGCCTGGGAAGGAGCAGCCTCCACCTCACTCTGCTCCCACACACGGACAATGCTCAGCCCATCCTGCGGGGACAGAGGGCACCCCCTGTGCCAGGGCTCCACAACCCACACCGGTGACATTTCTTAAAGATATCTGGTGCCACCAGGTGGTTGGGACACAAGTGTCCCCCAGGACCGGCCCCGAGGCAGGGGACAGACCACGGCAGGACAGCACAAGGACGGTGCTTGGACCCACAGGCACAGGGCACTTCTGCAGGCAGGGCAGCTCCTTCATCCCACCAGGTCCATCTCAGTCCTCCTCCAGCCCCACCGTGGGGCTCCTCCTCTACATTGCACACAGTGAAGGTCCCTCAGGACCCCAGAGCGAGTCATAAATAGGGAACTACAGATCTACAGGGCTACAGGAGAGCACAGCACAGCTCAGGGTGGGGAGCCACGCTCCGGGGGGCAGCGGGTCACGGCCGGGGCCGGGCAGGGACGATCCTCCTCTTGGCACTGTAGAAGTCTGGAAGGAAGAAGGAAAGGGTTGGAAAGGGCAGGAAGAGGGAGGTGTCCCCAGGGAGGAACCCCAAGCCCAGCCCAGATGGGTTTCACCCTGAAGCCCCCGTGCAAAGCTGCTGCAGAGCAGAGCTGTGAATCTGCATCGTCTCAGCTGCAGTTCTACTCCAGGCCCTGACCATGCAGCACAGGCAGAAATTTCTCACTGTGAGGGAGGTGAGACACTGCCACAGGTTGCCCAGGGAGGTTCTGGATGCTCCAACCCTGGAAGTGTTCAAAGCCAGGCTGGATAAAGGCTTTGAGCAACCTGGGCTAGTGGGAGGTGTTTCTGCCCATGGGACCTTGAAGATCTTTAAGATCCATTCCAACCCCTTAATATTCTGTGATTCTAGGACTGGGTCAGGCCATTGGAACTGAAGGTGATGAATTTGGGGTCATCTTCAGCTACAAAACCCACAGGCCCAATGCCAGTCCCCAGCAGCCAATAGGCACCAGCTGGTGGCCTTGTACCCTTTGGAATATGGGCTCTGCTTCCCTAGGAGACATCCAGGGATGGTGGGACCCCTCCCCATGCCCAAGAGCCAGGCAGAGCTCTGGCACCCAAGTCCCCTCCCTGTATCCCTGCCATGACAATGCCACCAAGCCCCCAAGGAGTGACACCAACCCCAGTGCTCACCTTTGATCGTGGTCTGCCCACGTTTCAAGCCCTGCAGGGAACCAGCCCTGCAAACCTTGGAGCTCTGCTGAGCCTCCTCAGGGCAAATCCTGCCAACACCACGCTCCTTGGGGGGCACCCTGTGGGCCAGGGAGCTCCTGCTGTCACTGCTGATGACAGCCCTGACCAAGCTGTGAACCTCTTGGGGTGCCTGCTCAGCCACCAGCATCCTCTCCCACTTGAAGGGCCCTTCCAGGGGAGTCTCTGTCTCAAAGTTGAAGTTCCAGCGCTGCTGAGCTTCTTCCAGCTGCTGCTTCATCTTGTCCTCAAAGTCCTGCTGGAGCTGCTCGTGGTCCACGGGGCCAAAGAGGTTCCTGCAGGCTTTGCTGCTGCAGGGGCTCTGCCCAGCCCTGCTCTGGGACAGCGGCATCGTGGCGGCTGCGGGGAAAGCAGAGAGAGTTATGGTGAGAGGAGCAAACACAGGGCAAAGCAAGGCAGAACAAGCTGGGCTGGGTCTGCACTGAGGCAGCCCAGAGGGGACTGACACATCTGGATTCTGATTCTGGAGATTTTAGCAAAGGCTTGAGCACGGCTGAGGTCAGACAGAGCCCAGCGCGAGACAGGAGGTGGGGAAGGTGCAGATTCAACATTCCCTGCTCCCCCTCCAGCAGGCAAAGCCCTGCCAGGTCAGAGCATCCAGCACCTCACTCTCCACCCACAACACCCTCGGGGTGCCAGCCTCAGAGCCACAGCTGGATGATGCTCCCCCGGTCCCCAACCTGCTCATCCCCACCTCCACGCAGGCAAGGGCAAGTTGGCACACGGGCAAGTGAAGCAACAGGATGTTTTTCTGGCCAGTTTCTTCATCTCAAGAACTCGGACCCGGTGGTAAGGAAACCTTCAAGCAGCTGCAAGAACACGCCACAAGCTTGACCACTTTGTTAACCACCCTCCTTATCTGCAAGGAGCTGTTGGGTAACCAGAAACAAGACCTTGTTTGTTTTTTTTCAAATCGGTGCCAAAAGCCTTGACCTTCCCAGAAAGTGACAAAGCCTTTCCATCCGAGCACAACTTCCCCTGACACACATGTGGGGATAATGGACCCCTCACTACACCCCACTTATGAGGAACCTCGACACAGAATCAGAATTGTTAAGGTTGGAAAACACCTACAAGATCATCGAGTCCAGCTGATAAGAGTCAGCACTGCTCTGGGATTTGAGTTTGCAGAGCTAAGGCTTGCCCTCACTGCAACAGCCACACTCACTAAATCAGCTTTAAAAAGGAAGATTCACAGCTCTATTTCCCACCTAATCTGGGACTCTCAAAGCCAGGCCAGAAAAGATCCTCCCCATCCCCAAACTTCCCCAAGAAGTGACTTCTCAGTCTCCTGCAGGGAAGATTTCTCCCCAAACTCAGCACCTGCAGCCCCTTTGGATTGCCAGTGCCACACTGTCTTCCCCACATTCCACCCTTGAAATGTGCAAGAAACAACTGAATGTAGCGCCCAGAGCTCTGGTCTAGCTGACAGGGTGAGGATCAGTCAGATTTTGGACGCGAGGACCTTGGAGGTCTCTGCAAAAAGGTGAATTTTCCAGCCTTAATGATTCAGTGATCCTATTACCAGGCATGTCACCAACCCAGTGTGCCAGTGGGGGGGGGCTGGGGGGCCACATTCAGTCCCTTTGGTCACCCCCATGGGCACCCCCGGCTCAGACCCAGCACCCCGAGTAAAAATAGCAATCCAGCTTCCTATCTCCGGGCAGTGAGAGCGCACAGGCAGGGGTGACCTCACTGCCAGGCAAGTCCCAGCATGTCCAGGCAAGCCCGGGCAGGTGGTGGGAGGGGGGACACGTTCTGTCATCATGGCCAGACACCCCCGCCCGCGTCACGAGCCCATGTCCCCATTCCCAGGTCACCGACGCCACTCAGGTGCCACCCTGGAGCCTCGAGATAACAGCCTGGCCCTGACTCACGGCTGCAGATTGCCAAAGCCACCAGCGAGGGAGGGACCGGCACCGGCGCCGGGTCATCGTCCCCTCCCATGGGGCTGGTGCCGCTTCCAGCGCCCTCTGCCCCGCCGCAGCCCCGAGCTCCCGGCACCGGAGCGAACCCCGGGATTGGGGCGAGGGAGCGGCAGGTGCACGGCCCCGTTAAACCCTGCCAGCCGAGCCGGGCGATGAGAGCAGCCCTGGGGACACCGAGCGGGGCTCCACAGCCACCTGCGACAGCCAGGACCAGTCCCACCAGTTTGGGCAAGGCTGGGCGAGCAGGAGGGGCTGGGGGCACCCGCATCTGGGAGCGGCTGAAGCCGCTGATCCCGCGCGGTTCGTGACACCGATGGCTCCGGGGGCTGGCACGGGGGTGGCCGGGACCCGCGGGATGCTCGGCGGTGGCACCGCGCCCGCACCGTGCCCTGCACCACACCCTGCACGGCACCGGGCACCGCACCCCGCACCGCACCGCCGCCACCGGGGGGCGAGCGTGGCCCAGCCCGGGGGCTCCGGATCCCCGGGGGGCTCCGCACCGCACCGCCACCGCCGGCACTGCCACCCCCCGGGTACCGCCAGCCCCGGCATCGCCACCCCCGGGTACCGCCAGCCCCGGGCATCGCCAGCCCCGGGCACCGTCACCCTCAGCACCGTCACCCCCGGCACCGGGCGCGGCCCGCTCTCTCCCAGCGCCGGGCACACGGCTCCAGGCGGAGCCGCCCCCGCTACGGCGTTTCCCCCGCTCCAGGCACCGGCGCTCCCCGGGGAAAGCGGCGCTCGCTCGCCCTCCTTCCCTCCCCGGGCAGCGCAGGAGCGGAGCCGCCCGGCCCGGCCGTGCCCAGCCCGCCCGCACTCACCGCCGGCTCCGCGCGTCTGTCCGAGCCTGGCGCGTCCCCGCCTTTTAAGCGAGGGCGGGGAGGAGCCGGGCCCGGCGTCGCCCGGGATTTCCCTCTCGCCCCGCCCCGGAGCGGCCCCGCTCTGCGTGTGCGTCTTCGCCCCCATCGCCCCTTCCTCTCCCCCGTTCTGTGTGTGCGTCCTCGCCCCCTCGCCCCCTCGCCCCTTCCTCTCCCATCCCGGCTCCCGGGAATGTGCGCCGTGCCAGGGGAGACCCGGCCATGCCAGGACCGTGGGCACCGGGACCCCCTTGCTAGGGACAGCGGGGAGCTGGGTCAGGGGATACAGGGACCCCCCTCCCTGGGGAGTGTTGGACGCCCCTATAGCAGGAGATGGAGGGACCCCCATCAGCGGATAGGGGGAACCCCTTCCTAGGTGGGTGCAGGGCCCCGACATCAGGAGCCAGAGGGAAACCTGAGGCAGGAGATAAAGGAAACTCCAGCCAGGAGATGAGATAAAGGAAACCCCAGCCAGGGGATACAGGGCTCTCCTCCCTGGGAGGTGCAGGGATCTCCCCCATCAGGGAACACAGGGACCCCTCCCCATGAGGAAATGCAGAGATTCCCTTCCTAGAGGGGTCAGGGGACAGGAGATGCCCCTGAGGGAGGCAGAGATCTTGTTGAGGGTACCAGGAGCTCCCTGCAGTGGATCCAGGTGCCACATTCCAGCCAGGACACACAGGAATTCACCCAGCTTCAAGAGGGTCTTGTCCTGGTGTCCCAGGGTGTCCCACCCACCTGGCACTGCAGGAAGGAGATTCATGGGTTAAGGACAGGGTGGCTCAGCCCCTGGAGTGCCAACCTGAGAACCACATGGTGATGATTCTTCCCTGGGTGCCAACCTGAGAACCACACAGTGATGATCCTCCCCTGGGTGCCAACCTGAGAACCACATGGTGATCATTGTCCCCTGGGTGCCAACCTGAGAACCACACGGTGATGATCCTCCCCTGGGTGCCAACCTGAGAACCACACAGTGATGATCCTCCCCTGGCCCCCAGGCACTGCCCAACCCATCCCCGGCCTCTCCAACAGGATTGTCTCCCCCAGGTCTGGTTCTGCTCCACCAGCTGAGCCCCAGCACCCACCGTGGGTGGAAAAAAGTGTTTGGAGCAGGATCTGCTGCTCTGAGTCCTGCAGATGTCCAGGCAGGGATGAGGAGGAGGAACAAGTCTGTGCATGTCCTGCAGGAACCTGCGGCAAGGATTCGAGGGGATCTGAGGCTTAGCTGGAAAATGCATCCAAGGGAAGGTGTGAGACAGATCAGCTTCTGCTGGGGTTACTCTGTGGGCCTGGAGGGAGCTGCCCTGAGCCTGGCTGGTGGCTCCATCCCTGCCTGGCAGCCCGAGGAGGGAAGGGAAGCCCTCAGAGCCAGCCCAGCGGGGCACAGGGGCTCTGTCCTGCAGCCCCCTCACGGCTGGGGCACACAGAGACAAACACAACCTGCTCCCCGGGGCACAAGTAGGTGACAGCACAACTCCAAGTGACAAAGGCCATGTTAAAGTGATCCCTTGGGAGTACCAGGGCTCCTCAAAAGCCCCTGGAGGCAGCAGGTACCGGGGTGCTGAGGAGGACCCTTGGTGTGCAGACCATTCCTGCTTTTTCCAGCTGGAGCAGCAGCTTCCCACTGGCCAGAGCAGCTAAAAAATGTGTTGGGGCATGTTCAGCTCCTGCCACAAGCTGCAGGAGTATTTCACAACCTCTTGTCCCTACTCTGCAGAGCTGTGCCAAGGCGCTGGAATCTGGTTCAGTGGCTGTGCAGTCCCCCAGAGAGGCACAGCTGGATGGACAGGAAAGGCAAAAGGAAGATGAGGAGTGGGAAATGACAATTCAAAGTGACAAGGTGACAGTGGGAAAAGTGTTGAAAGTGTTGAAAGTGTGAATCACTCGTCCCCACTCTGCAGAGCTTTCCAAGTTCAGTGGTGCCTGCCTGGTTCAATCCCTGTGGCTGCCTCCAGAGGGGCACAGTTGGATGGACAGGAAATGAGGATGAGGAATGCTAAATTCATGTCACAGCACTGAAAACCCAACCTGTAAAGATGCAGTCTGGACTTAAAAGGCTCCAAAATTCATCCTTTCTGTTTGCAATAGGCAGGGAGAGGAGGGGGCAAGTTGGGACAGGGAAGCTGTCACTGGTTTTTCCACCTAGGAATGATTTCTGCTCCTGGGTGCAGGGAGCAACCTCCAGAGCCTCATGCAGAGGAAGTTTGCAGATCATTTCCTTGCCAAGCTCCAGCCCTGCTCCAGCTGCAGGTGTGGGTTTGCTCCCTCTGGATGTGAGGGATGCAGTTGGCACCACCCCAGCCTGGGCATCTCCTGGGTCAGTGCAGCTCCAGTGCTGCTCTGGGACTCTGGGTTGAAGCAGCATTTACTGGAGGATGCTCCCTGCTTTAAACACATCCCTTTTTTCCATAGAACCCCTCTCTCCTGCCCCCCAGTGCACAGAAGGAAATGGGAACATTTCCATTTCCACAAACCAGCAGCTTTTTGAAGTGGCAGAGGAAGGAGTTGTGCAACCCAGAGTGGCCCCAGAGCCACTGGTGCAAGACTGAGGGATTCAAAAAGTGAGATAAGCCAACCAGCCTGGCTGCTGGGGACATCCCAGTTACTCCAGGGGTTCATCCCAGGACTAAACCAGCAAGAAAACCAATCAGACGTAGATTTTCCCTTAGGAAAGTAACTCTCAGTGATTTTTTGGTGAGGGTTCACTCCCCACACGCTGGGATGGGGGGCATGGGGAGGTTTCTGGCTCTTGCAAACTCCACTCTCGCTTCCCTTCCTGTGGGAGAGGGGAGCTCCAGCGACAAAGGGGGTAACTGGAAAGGGAAGTGGGAGAGGGATGGCGTCAGGGTCTGGCTCAGGAAGTCCATGAGTATGTCTGCAGTGGCATTACTAGAGAAAGAAAAAAGGGGTGGGGGGGTAAGAGGAAGAGTGATTAAGAAGGCGATACAGTAACTTGAAAAAAAAATAGAAAATCCCAAAGGTGATTCATGGTGTTTGATCCCACAACACAGAGGAGGAGGAGGACGAAGGCAGACACAGGACTGGGGATCAGGATCAGCGCTGAAGGCTGATGGGCTATTTCCTTCTCACCATTTATAGCCACAGCGTGGGATCTGTCACCTCCCCTGTCCCGGGCTCCCAAACCCCCACAGGGCAGGAGGGTGTTGGTGGGAGAATCCGTGTTTATCATTTCCTTGAATAACCCGTCCCAATGCCTGGAAGCAAAAGGAATATATTAAATTCCTGCATATTTCACAGCCTTCAAAGGAACCTCCTTCCCAGCACCGGGGGCACCCAAACACTGAGCAGCACCCTCGGGAGCGCTGAATTCCCAGGGGATCTCCCCAGGTGGGTCCCGCAGAAGCCGAGGGGAGTGGAAGCCTGAGCAGCCACGGAAGCAAACACATCACTGTGGGCAGGGAGAGCCGAGTGTGACTCAGCCCATCCCCACAGAGCCAGGGATCCGACAGGGAACGTGCCCGGGCACAGCGCCCCTGACAGGCTCGTCCCTGCCCCGTGTCCTCCTCTGACTCGGGAGGCAGCACCCCCAAAGCCAGGGGGACATGGGGACAGTTCCAGCGTGGAGCAGGGAACAGCTTGGGTTGGATGGAGGGAATGCTCCAGCCTTGGAAAATGGGGAAATATGGCTTGGTGGAGCTGTGCTTACAGCAGTAACACACTGAGGTCCACCCCGTGCTCATCGGGACTTCTAAATGCGCACAGATTCCTGTCTGGAAGGATTTTACACGGTTTTGAGATTTAGTAGTCCAAGGTTTTATGTGAAAAGGGTTTTTTAGGGTGGGGAAGTGATATTCCTGTTAGATCAACCGGCACAGAGGGGAAACAGCAAAGATTTGGGCAGATGAGCATCCCTCAGGTCTTTTGGGATGGAGATGGCAGAGATCAGGGCACACTTTTTTTATGTTTATCACACCTATTTCTCAAGGTGAGATAAACACAAACTCTGCAAAAAGGTGAATTTCTACCCAGAGAAACACCCTGAAAATGGGGGGATCTAACACAGGACCTCTGCCCCAGCATGGGTAGTGGGGAGATACCACATGGGGCTGGGGTTCAGTCCTGCAGAACACCCATCCTACACCCCAAATGTCCAGCCAGGGCTGTGTCCCACTCCATGGGGCACAGGGGTGATTTTTTTTCCCCTCCTCAAACAGCTTTTATTTGCCAGAACATCCCGGGCAGGTGGAAATTACTCAACTCAGGACAGCAGATTGCCAGTGACAAAGTCCTGAGTATTCCAGCACTGAAAAGCCTCTTCAGCAAGATTCAAATCACCAAGAGTTTTTTCTCTGTGTTGTTTTTTTTTTTTGTTTGTTTTATTATCTCTGCTAACAAGCTTTTTTCTTTTAAGTGGGAAACGTGAAGGCTCTTAATGAAACCCTCACGCTCCAGCAGAAGTCTAAATGAGCCCAGTGTTCGGCTGGAGGGCGTTTGTATCCCAGCAAAGCCTGTTTTCCCATCAGCTCTTTGAAGTGCCCTATTAAGTGATTTTATACTAATAGGATTTTCCCAGGAAAGAAAGACAAGAATGACAAAACGCTGAATGCTTGATTAACTCTGCCCCTAAAAGAACTCGGATCGTGTTAATTGACTGTTCCCCTGCCATATCCAGCCCTTGTTTTCCCCATTTATGAAGGCATTTTGATGAGACACCAGACCCAGCAGAGTGGAAATAGAGTCCCACCAAGCACAAATAGGGGATGAGACAGTCCTAAAACAAGGCCTTTGCTTACTGGAAATATTCCTGGATGCGAGAGCCAGGCTATGAATCGGTCGCTTCATTCGGCCCCTCACTCATTTTCATCCAAGATTGTTTTTAGCCCCATTCATAGTCATTAACGTAATTGCTTCACTGACTTTCCATGAGCAGCTTGGAAGCTTTGTGGGGTTTTTTTGCTGGCAGCAAAGGCCTCATTGTTCAGAGCACGGCCGGGTGGCTGCAGTACCTGGCTCCAAACCCTGCAGCAGGCTGTCCCTTT